GCCAACGTTTTAGTACCGTGAGGTTGTTTACCGAAGCAAGATGAAAATAATTTGTAAAATGTGTTAATAGGACTGTGACGTTTTAATTTAATTTCCTTCAGAATGTGCTACAACAAATTATTTAGAATTAAATTGGCTTCGTATCAGGTTGGGCTATGACAAATATATCCATATTAACTTTGATTCTGTCTCATGCACACTGCTATAAAAACTTTAAACAGTCTTTAGCCTGCCAGCTCCATTGTACAAAGATGTCTGATTGCATCTGTGTGGGAACTGCCTAGTGAACTCACAGGGAGCTAGTGGTTTCATGTGTGTTGCCTCCTGCGAAGGCTACCCAGGAAGCTTTGTTTACAACAGGCGTAAGCACTGTTTGCAGTATATGAAGCCGAGTACACATCCCAGCTGAACAAAAGGTGCTGCTGAATCAAGTGCTGTCTTCATGATAAGTTGTAAGGTGGTTGAAATACATTGCTACGAAGTTAATAAACAGTGACCTCATCATTTCCCCTTTAGTTAACAAATAAATATTGGAAATTTGTATCAGTCATCCTTTTTTTGTAGCTTGCTACCTTTGGACTTGGACTTTGCTATCTTACATATATTGCCAATTTAAATAAAATAGTGTGACGTTAACCTGCTTTTACCATTGACCCGCCCATTTTTACGAGCACTCTTATTTTGTAATTTAACAGCCAAATTACAAAATAAGTAGTAAAATATAAAACAGATTTGATAAAGAGTTAAACATGAACAAAGAGGTGTGTAAACCCGCCATCTATGTCTAGACTATCTAAACACACATTTTCTGACTAATGGGTTTTGGAAGGTTGAAATCTTTTCAACACAGTTTTAGCACCAGATAATATTTTATTTTTAGTTTGCTTTATACTAATGTAACCCCAATCAATGAAACAGCTGATGTTAATTTGGCATTCTTTTTTATAACATCTAACAGCTGACAGTTTTGTTAATAAATAAGACATATAAAAGACATTTAAAGTAGTAACACTGTATATGATGTTAGCACAGTAAATATTATTAAACATTTCATCCATCTTTGGCACTTCCAAATCCATATTTATAAAGTGTACCGTTGATGAGGTTTCCAAAACAGTTCCAATGGCCAAACTAAACAGGCCTTCAGACCAGCGAGCAATGTAGATGGGATGTTGTAATGGGACTGGCACACTGTGTTCTGTGTTACAGTCCAGTAATAAATCACTTTCTGGTGAAGGGGATTGAACAACTTTAAAGCACACAGGATTCACACGTGTACGCTTACACTAAAACGCTCGAAGAAGCTCTGAAAGAACGGGCTGCTATTGAAAGCGAAATGCTTTAGTCTCTGGTTTCCACAGAACATTAAACATCATGTCAGCAAATTGTTTTAGCTGGTCCAAAGTCGAGAAAAAAACGCTTGTTTGTGCCCTGGAGGCTGCAGTTTGGGCTGAATCCCACAGAGACACTAGTGGGAAGTAACTCCATGATTGAGTTTTCATAAAACCGCCTCAATGAGAAACAGGAGTGCAAACACCTAACGCTGTAACACCTATTGTATAAGTCAGATCAACAGTGCGTCAGTGTGGATTTTATGTCATTATGGAGGTTTAAATTTTGTCTAAGCTGAGGTTGTGCTACTGTAGATGAGAGGGGTGAAAGGGCGTCTTCTCTTTGAAGCGCTCTGTCACAGTGACCTCTGCCCTCTGAATTTATAAGAGTCCCGTAGATTCCCATTACTGCCTCATTTCTTTTCCAAATAAGATTGATGGCTCTGTTGTAGTTACTGTTTTACACGCATTTTCAAGATTATTGCGGACACGCACTGTGTGTGAATTTGAGAAATGAGACACGGTCTTCTCATTTGATAGCCCTGAGCATTCAGACTCATTACGTGTTTGTAAATGTTGCATCAGTCGAGCCTCGTCTCCACTCATTAGTTCAGAAATACATTTCAAGAGGATGACCAGCATCGCAGTTTAGGGCAAATCCATGTTGAGCTTTTTCATTTCAAATCCAACCAGCACGAATAAGTTCAAACCTTTATTTTTGTGGTTTTGAAAAATGTGACTTTTATATTTAAGATCAACTATAGCTGCTAGTATGTGATTTTAATTGCATTTTTATGTATTCATTATGTGCAAATGAGTATTTGTTGTTTCTATTTCAGGTGTTTTTTGGTGGAGTTTTTGGCTCGTATTGCATCTAGAATTGGGTGATAAAATAACAAAAAAGGATATTTGTCTAGCTGAAAAGAAAAGATAACTAGAAACAATCTTTGTGTCATTCCAAATCTTTTATTTGGAATGACATAACAGTTGTGTTGAGGACGTTAAACAGGGACCTTATTTCCAGCTCCACCTTTTTTTCTTCAATTATTCAGAATAATCTTGGCCATCTCATATTGGCCATTTGTGAATTCCCTCAGCTCACTCTCTCCCTTTTAAAGCCACCCTCTCATAAAGCCAACTTTCTTCTAATTGGCCGCCTGTTGCAAACAGAAGGTTTAAACAGCAGGTGGGTGGGGCTTGGGTTGTTACATCCATAGCAGCATGTTTGAGATGACCTCATAAAGACTGAAGAGCAGAGTCTACTGAGGTTTTGGCTTGTGAGAATTACTTGTATATATGCTGACCTCATTATTTGGAAACTTTGACTGCATATTATATAAATAGGTCACATAAAACGCACAGATAATCCAAGAATCTTAGTTTTGCAGTATAAATCTTCCCTTTTCTGTTGCTAAACAAAAAAAATTGCTTTATTGTTCTTGTGACCAATTGAGTGGTGGGAAACCTTGAAGCAAACAATGTTTATTTTAAGAACTAAATGGCATTTTGGTGATTTGATCCATCATTGCCAAAGACAGAAGTTATGCTTCAAGGTAAAGTACTTTTGTAAGTCAGATTTAACCATTATATCTTTATACTTGACAGCTTTACAACATGAAGTTTTTAATTAGACTGTCAAAAATAATCATTGACATGCTACATGGAAAAGGGAAATGCACTTTAGAGGAGAAATAAGGCTGTTCTGTTCCAGTTTTAGAATTATTTCTGTTTGGTCTTTTGGTATTTTCACATCTATTTGTGGTTAGAGAGTTTTGATCAGAGGAGAAGGCGAATGTGTTTGGATCTGCTTGTGTGTGGGTGTGTGCATGTGAAATTACAAAAAAAAGAAAAAAATCCTGGGATATTTTCTCCTTAACACTGACCAGAGCAAATCCCAGAGAGTAACCCCAGCATGCTAATAATATAGCTCCCATCCATCACCACAGACAACAACCAATTAGTACATTCCTCTTCCCCCTTTTTCTCATGTTCTTGGCTAACCCCTCAATAATTCTGGATCATTCATCAAAAAACTGAAACGCATTCAAGATGCTGTTTGTGTGCGTGCGCGAGGGTCTGTTTTTTGGTGCGTAAGGAATTAAAGGAATGTTTGTTGTGGATTGATTTTGTTTTTCTGGGGTTAAGTGACTGTGACAGTGTCTGTAAACCATCTGAATAGGTTCGCACACATCAACAGGCTCACTCCTTTGTGGCTTTTTCACTATCTGAGTTTAAAAATGAGGTGGAATTATGTATACTGATATAAAAAGAGAAGTCGATACTTTATCTAGTAACCATGCAGTGTTATTCTGTATCATTTTAGCACTTTAGTAGTGAGATATGTGTACTGTGGAAGGGAGTCTCTGTGACGGGGGCAAGTAGTGATTAACCGAACTCAGGCTGAATAATTTTCTTTAAAACAAGAGACTTTGTATAAGAAATTAAAACTTCCACTAGTAAACACTACTATTATCAGACCTATAATGATACTTTATTTAAGATAACTGCAGCTTACTAGAACATTTACTGGAAATCCCAGGCATAAGTAACCTCAAAATCAAATTCGTATAATTTTCTTCTGGCCGATTCTCCTGTGAATCAGCCAGGTGTGAGTTGCCCAGATTTGCAAACATCTTCTGTAGAGCAGGGTCATGAAGCCAAGTTGGAATCTATGTTGACCTACTCATACCAATAACAAACAGATTTTTCCCAGGTCTCTGCTTTGGGGTATTAGTCTGTCAGCCCTAGTCCTGTGGTTAGTTGTATTCTCTTCCACAGGCCACCCACGGTGTTGTAACCTAGCCAGTAGTAGACTGAGGAGAGTAGGATCAGCCAATTTGACCCTTTACCACACTGGAGTACTCAGAAATCTGCTCTCACACTGTAACACACCTGTCTTTCTCACATTTATGATCACAGAAGGCACAATAAACATGCACGTTGTTTTATAAAGTTCGTTAACAGTTGTCTGGGTTAATCATCGCCAGTGACAAGTCTCCTTTTTAACACATTTTGTGCAGTTTTAACAATGGAGCAGCTTTTCTTTTGCAGGGGCTTATGTGCAACGAAAAACATTCATGCATTTATATGCATTTGTCAGCCTGTGAGTAATGATTTTCAGCTGAATGAATGTGTTACCACATGGATACCTGAGCCAGACTTTTCCATAGTAAACTCTAAGGATCACATGTCCCTCCAGCCTCTGTGGTATGCACTAACAGTCTGAGCTTCCAGAAGAGGGGTCCCAGGTGAAAATGTCCCAGGATAAAAAGAAATCCCCAAGCCTGCTGCTGTAGTGAGAGTCTGACACTGAAATAGCCAACAGTCTTTCTCAGAACCCGCTGACGGGTCAGTGGTAGTAATTTAAAAATTTCTTTCATAGTCTCAAATCTGACTGCCAGTCTTTTGCTTAGTTTGTTTCAGTCCTGCAATTACCAACCTCTTAAACTTTCCACTGCTGTTTAAGCTCAGCGCGCACTTGTCAAACTTTGTTCATATATAGACATATAAAAGCTGTAATTTCGATTCGGCCATGTCACTCTGCGTTGAAAAGCAGTGCTGTGGATTTGCATCGTTAAAGATGTTTGTTTTTATGTGACAAAAATATGACGACTTTTGCTTTATGTGACTTAAACAATGATATATGCGTCTTTTTCTTTCTCTGCTCAGGACTCCATGGATGAAGCATGTGCTGAGGGGATTGGTAATGAACACTATCGTTTAGAAGGTAGGTCTCTCCCAATCTTTTTCCTCTCTGTGGTGAAATTAGTTGGAGTACTGTTTCAGTTGAATGAAAAAAAAAAACCCTATCCCAAAAACACTATTTGGAATTGAACTTCAGGTATTTGTGTGGCTCTTTGATCCAGTGCTTCATCCCTTCCTCCTCTGCTCCACACCCATTCTCTAAGCCCCAGCAATGTGCTGATGAAGTCCCTTTTACTTTCCCTCCTGCCTTTTCACCTCCTCCATCTCTCATCCGCCCCTCCCCAGCGGTGCACTGCAAAGTGCCTCCATTCCCCCATGTTTTTTCCCTGATGTGATGTGATCCTGGATTAAGAGCTCTGGGAGGAGAAAGTCTCTCCCTCCCATTTAAAGACACGATTGGACGTGAGGTGCAGGCAAAAATGTAGGGTCGAATGAGACCAAGCCAGAATCTGGAGGCATGTCAGAAAATTCCGTTTTACTTCAGTTTCACTTCAGTGGATAATAGCAGAGAGACAAGAGATAATGTGACTGATAAATGGAGTTTGAAATGATTTTTAGCAACTGGGCTAAACTGTGTATGGGCCAAGCCTGTCCTCCCTTCAAGACAGATGTTGCTAATTAGAGTATGCTGCTCTCTTCATTCACTTTGATTAATAGCCACAGTTCAAGACAGCTTAATAAAAGACTTCATAGTTTATGTGTCAATATCTACATAGTACTGACCTCTAAAAAATTTTGTTTTTGTTTAAGAAACAGAGTAGTTACAGATCTTACTTAGATCTCAGGTTGGGCAAAGCTGATTATAGCTTGAATTGTTAAAATATTTCTATAGGCATTTGATATGTTCATGTTGTCTGTTTTCAGTCTTGAATAAATTGACCTTTTGTACACATAAAAAGGGACTACTAGGTCCCTGATACAAGTAGCTGTGGAGGTTTTATAGAATTAACAGATAAAATGGGAAGAGAGAGAGAAGAAATGACAGTACGAACAACAAAGAGAAAGGGCTTCTTTTGTCTTAAGGAAGTAAGTTAAAGAAAACATGCAGCAAAAATTGAGAAGAGGAAAAAAAGCTCAGTGATGAAATTAGCTTAAGGATTATTTACATCTGTACTGCTAGGATTCAAGAAAACCTACCGTTGCAAACTTTTTAATATACTCTTTAACCTTTTGTTAAAAAAAGAGAAACAGTCCTTTCCATCATCACCTCCTTTCACATCTGGCTCACGTGTTGGATACACAGCGATTACAGCTGGTCACAAAACTGCTGGAGGAAAAGTTACCTTTCAATACAAGAAGCATCCCATCCAGGCCTTCCCGAAATCATGCTGGTTCTGCCTGTACATATAGGGGAGGAGTGGGGGGCTGCTATGTGTAATAAAGTATTTTAGCTTAGCCGACTGAGTGTGATTGCTCACAGTGTGTGGCAGCTTTCCCAACCTGCCTGCGATGCTCTCTGCGTGTGTGTGTGTGTTTGCGTAACGCGTATGCATGCACAAGTGTATTTCTGTCACTGGAACGGCCTTGGCATGGAGGGTGCCAGACTCGACTGCCCTCATCTTGCCCCTCAGATCTGATGTGCAGCCAATCCCGTAGCGGCAGCTTCACTCATAAAGAGTGGGCTTATGTCTGTGATTGGGAGGGGGTCAGAGGGGGGGAGGAGGGTGATAACAGATTACTGTTACTCCTCCCGGCATTTCATTAGCCGTGAGATAAGCATCTCACCACCATATTGAGCCTGCTTCGGAACAGATTTGCCTTCGCACACAATGTTCCCTTTGAGCACCTCAGATGATCAAACAGCAGGACCCCAAATGCTGCTTCTCTCCAAAAAGTTGGTAAAAGCTCCCTGGGATGATGCCTTTCATTTCTGGCATTTTCCCCTACCCAGGGATGAGACAGGTCTGCTTTGATCTGCTTTGGATCAGGAGGAAAGAAATTGGGCTGTTGTGTCTGCTCTGTTGGCGAGCAAACAAACAGTGTTTCAGATTTGACTTGGCTTAATTAATTAGTGATTCTGTTTTACAGCCGGTCTGATCCTCTTCCAGAAGGTTTGAGAATGGAACTTCAAAGTGTGGTGGGAGGGGTTTGGGGAGGGTGGGGGTGAGGGGTGTGGCTTTATGGGTGGATACAGCCTTCGTGGCTGTGATTGGGTGATGGGGATGGTGGAAGGGGAAACCTAAATGACCAGAGGTGAAACATACTAGGGGCTCATACTAGAATACATCTGTGAGAATAAGGTAATGATGTGTCTGGGTAATTCATAGAGTTGTAAAGGTCCTGACTGGTACACCTACTGATTCTCAGTTACATACTGTTTGTGTCTGTGGCCTTATGTTCTAAACAAATACTTGATTTCAAAGCATAGAAGACAATTTTGGTTGCATTAGATCTGGGCTAACACCCAACACTGAAAGTTAGACTTTGAACTGAACAGCGACAGTTGAACCTTGTAATACAGTAAAAAAACAACAACAACTCCTTCCTCAACTTTGACCTCATGTTTAAAGGCACTTCCACTTCACTCATTTCAAAGTTAAGGTTTATGAATTTGTCTTTCTTTAGATGCCAAAACATACAAAGAGTGGTTAACACAACTCTTTGAACATTTACAGGGCGATCGTGGCTCAAGAGTTGGGAGGTCACCTTGTAATCGGAAGGTTGCCGGTTCGAGCCCCAGCTTGGTCAGTCTCGGTCGTGTCCTTGGGCAAGACACTTCACCCGTTGCCTACTGGTGGTGGTCAGAGGGCCCGGTGGCGCCAGTGTCCGGCAGCCTCGCCTCTGTCAGTGCGCCCCAGGGTGGCTGTGGCTACAATGTAGCTTACCATCACCAGTGTGTGAATGGGTGGATGACTGGTTGTGTAAATACAAATACAGGCCATTTACCATTTAAATACTCCACTGGTGAATTTCAGAGCTTTTATGTATCCCAGAAAAGGCACTTGATAATACAAGGTTAAACGAAACTAAACATGTTGTTGGAGACATTTAACATCATCACACCAAATGAGATTAGAGATTAGTGGTGGTGATGCTGAAGTTGTCATGTTGTTTGTTCGTAAGCTAATATTGCATTGTGACTTTTGGTAATTGCATATAATGTCACAACTGTCACAGCTGAATTAACTTGAGGAGAATATGTTTAAGATAATAAGCAAATTTTCTCGAGTAAACCAAAGATTTTTGAAAAATCTTAATGGATTTTTTCCCCAGGTAACCATGGCGATGCTTTCTTCATGGTTGGCCTACAAAAACACATCATCCCTGAAGCACTCTATACAGACATTTGTGCCAACTGATTCATCAAAAGGCAGAGTCATGGAGCCAGTGCAGATGCATTCACATCAGTGGTAGATTTGCTTTCACACACAGTGTTCACTTTGAGCACCTCTGATCAAACAGCGGGACATAGCCTCACCTATGCTCACTGATTTGGGGTTGAAAGAACGCTTAGGTCTCGTGGGTTGTATTAGCACAACACTGTTACTTTGAACCCTGTCCAGGTGACTCTGTGTTCAGTAAAGACTAGTACAGTAAAGAGGTGAATAACGATGTCATATTAATTGGTAAAATGTATGCGACACATTTTCCACAGACTGTCTAACTGTGAGCCTGGATGGTGATGTACGGTATATATCTTTCCAATAAAATGGTGAGCTCTGCTGCACTGAGCTGGGCTCGGGGGCCTCTTGGAGACCTTCAGCTCTTTCACTTCCACCATTTATATTCAAATGCTGGTTGCCATATTCTATCATGTTTTAGTCATGTTATGCCATTCAGTTTCATGTTTAACATCCCCTCTTAGGGTGAACCTACTGAGAAGATATGCAATATATTGTAGCTAACGGCTTAAAACTATTACTATGTGTGTGGATGATGGAAGAGCTTTTGCCACCAGAGAATTAGGGCTGTCACAGTTTCAACGTTTCATCTCCCAGCCTTGATTTTATTGTTTTGATTCTGTAGTACTTCTGCTCAATGGAATGATGAAGTAATGAACTCTTTGCCTAACTTCATGCAGAAAAAGTGTTTTTTCAGTTTCTGGTAGAGGCTCCTTTAAATGTCTTTTAAAAAACAAGAATCACATCCTTGTTTTTTTTATCGCTGTAGGGACTTGACCCCACACTGTCATGGATCAGTTTGCTCTGATTGCTAACATGAAATGCTCCAAAAAGCATTTTTGAACTGTGAGAACCAAACTGTGCCTTGATTTTCTGCAGCCTTTGAGCATGATCAAAAACAGTGTAAATAAAACCTACAACTTCAGTGCACCTCAGCAGCCCAGTGAAAAAAAAAAACCCCAACCAAACAAAAAATCCAACCTAATTTGCAAGTTGTTCCTAAGCTCATCAAAGTGCTGTTCTGCTTGCAAAATATATAACTGGGATCAAATAAATAAAAATACAATTTAATGATAAAAACTGTAAGGCAAAAACGGTTAAGAGTTTGGCTGTGTTTTTACATCCAGGAGCGCTGGAATGGATGACATGTCTTAATTGTGGCTGCCAAACTCGGAAGTCAGAGCTTACAAGGCGCACTTGATTGCGACGACATATCCTCAGGTTATGGCTGCACCCAATGCTGCCATCCTCAGGCTCTCTCTTTTATCTTTGTGTGTGTCTGTGTGTGTGCCATTGCAGTGGCTTTACCCCCGGAGAAGACAGACAGCTGCTGTGTGGAGGAGAAGATGCAGGAGAGGGACAGCCAATCTCCCGCAGGGCCTCAGAAACAGCTCCAGTTTGAAGTGAGTGTCAACACAAAACAGGACATTTATTACTTCCCCCTCTGGATGAAACTAGGGCAATAGCAGGACACACAAATACACACTCACACGCTGTATGGTACTGATTCAATGCTGGGCTGTTTCAGGAGTTGGAGTGCGCTGTGTCGGTGGAGGAGGATAACAGGCAGGAGTGGACCTTCACCCTCTACGACTTTGACAACAGCGGCAAAGTTACGCGAGAGGTAATCGTCTGCTTCAGTGGAAAAGCCTTTAATTGCCTAATGAATAAATAAAAGAAGACATGATAATAAGACAGTGAATACATCCAAATAACTGCCAAAAACATGCACTAAATTTAAATTGAAATCCTTAAAACGTGAAATCCGCATTTGTTTATTCTCCTGCATGTTTCACACATTAAAGAGATTTGCACAGAAAAAGCCTGGCCGGCAGTTTGCTTATCCTGAATCATGTCCCACCTTAGGTTGGAATAAAAATCAATAACTTCCCTGTTCACTTCTTTTTGGTATCGCCACACCCGAAAGGGAAGCATGGATAGAAAAAGCCTCTAACCCAGTCTTACTTGTAAGAACTGAATCCAGCAAAGGTATGTGTTTCCGCTCCTGTGAGGCACCTTGTGGCTTGCGTCTGCCTGGTACAGATCTGAGAGAACATCGAGAAAGGCCCGTGTTTTTTGAGAACAACTTGAAACAGCGCAAAGAGACTGGAGCTGTCCTCTGTGTGGTTGGCTGTGCAGCTTTTTTGGCATTGCCTGTGGCTCCACGGCTCATGAGACAGCGGCTTGGAGGGGGGAAAGAAAAGCTTTCTTCTCCAGCTCTCTCTCTCTCTCTCTTTTTTTGTAATCCATTCACACAAATAAAAAGAAAAGGAAACCCAAAAATGACACAGGAAGCTTTTATTTTATTTTAATTGAAATTTTTTACATTTTGTCTGTGTCTGAAACCAGTATGTGGAACTGATCCCTGTAGAATTTATAATAGTCCTTTTTATGAGTCATAGTGGTATAGTGAGTAAAAATCATGCTTTTGCAGTCTTGTGTGGTTCGGTCTTGATTCTTAGCAGTTATAGTGAAACCCTCTTACTTCCTAAAGACATCTGAGATGCAGCACATGATACGAGTCTGGACATTTTACTTCTGTACCTAGGAAAGAATCCATCATAGTTCCCGAAACTTAAGCGGGACTCATTAGTTCAGTGCAAAATATACCGATTAACGAGCCACAAGAGCTAGCTATGCTTACTGCTATGTGAACTTTTTTCATTTTACAGCATTGACAACAAAAGTTATTAGTTTGTATAAACAGTTTTAGCTTTTCCACTTTTCAGCATAGTATTTATCTGATCCTTGTTTGTATGTGTTACTATGCCTAGATGTTGCCGCTACTGTAGATGTATCTTCAACAAATTTAACAAATATAGAAAGTGCAGCGCTCACAGCTTAATACAACTCATATCAGGCCTGACAGGCTTCCGTGCCACTGACAAGACATTTGTTTTTATGAATTTATAACTTGTCTTTACACCCAACTTGATCGCTTCACTTGGAAAGCAGAAGTAACTGATGTCAGTTTCTCTGTTCACTGTTGTCTAAGACACTTCTGTAAATTCTTCGCTAGCATGATATTTATTATGCATGGTCTAAATGCTTAAAGCTTAAGATTCTTGGATTCAGAGTGTCGGCAAAAGAATACTCTCCCATGTTCCATTTCTCTTGAAAATCTGTATTTGTACCAGTGTGATTAAGAATCTGCAAGATTGAACATTTAATTAATGAAAGATGAAAAAAACCCTAACAAATTCTCATCTTCTGTTTCCTGCAGGATATCACCAGCCTGCTGCACACCATCTACGAGGTTGTCGACGCTTCAGTCAACCATTCTCCTGGCAGCAGCAAGACATTACGTGTCAAGCTCTCTGTGGCTCCTGACTCCAGCCAGCGGTGGAGGAGCTGCACGCAGGGTGCCACAGGTAAAGCTCGCATTAACGCAGTGGGTGGGAGCAGCGGAGAAGAGAGGGCATTTCGGGGTCCCCCTTGTGTTGCATGCTGTCAGCTCATCCAGACATGTGTTTGTTGTCATGCAGAAAGGCGGCTTCTTCAGGCCTGTCAGCGCTTTGTTCCTTGCAGTTTCGGCGTCGCTCCATCTCTCCCACTCAATGGGGTTCATTTTTAATGATGGGGGGAGTGACAGAGCCAAGAGAGAGCCCCCTCCCTCAGCGCCTTCAAATACTCTGAAAGAAACCTTAAGAGATGTGCTGAGTCCTTTTGATAACCACAGCCATTTTTCTTTTCTCCAAAGTTCCCTTTTTTCCCCCCCTGCTCCCCCTCTCTTCGTCCCCCCCTTCTCAGAGCTGCTGGGAAAATATAGCTGCGTTCAACTTAACTTTTCTCACTGACGACTTGGTAAACAAGTCGTCAGGGAGAAATATCTCAAAAAGTATATATTCCTGTGTGTTTGCGTCCTATTGTTCCGGCTATAAATATCTGTCAAGAGATTGAGGCAGAGCATGCTTTGAAAAGATTGCTGGTTGACTTCATGCTAATTTCAAACCGCATCAGATCTCACATCCTTAATAAACTATTTCTGAAGTCTGCATGTTTTTTTTTTTTATTCCACGCCTTATAAAAGACTGGGAGTTGAAAATAGAATAAATGAAGCACTGTTGTTTTTCCTTTTCTATAGATCTTCAAAGTAAAACCCCAAAACAAAGGTTGCTTTCTTCTGAGGCTTGTGTGACTGTTGTCGTTCGTGCTTGGGTGCGTGTGTGTGTGTGTGTGTGTGTGTGGCAGCTCTGTGTTGCTCTCTTTGATAATAGCCTCCTGTCTTTCACACATACTCAGACTTACCCCACCCAAGAGAGAAAAATGACAAGTGCATTGAAGACCCCAAGAGTGCAGAGAAGAAGTCTCGAGCACTCCTAAGGTAAACCCATCTCTCTTGTACGTGTCTCAGTGTCTGCTGGTTGTAGTGTATACAGTTATATATGAATAAGCAGCATGTTAAGGCTTGTGCCACTGATTTTTCAATCTAAAAGTAGAAACATTCCTACAAAACACGTCTAGGGGCAAAGTTTGTTTTAGGAGGACTTCTTACATGGGTTCTGTAATATTCCTTTACTCTCTAATTAGCTGTGCCCAGTGCATTGCAATGAGGAAGAATAAACAGCAGAGACACTTCACTCTCTGTGCTGTTCAAGTACTCCCAGTTGACATTCAAACCAGTGATTTTCCTATCACAATCTCACTTCTCTAACAATTACCGTGCCACAGGCTGATCATAAGGAACACTTGTTTTACTTTCTCCAAACATTACCAAAGTGAACCTCAGTGGCCCAAACTGCTACCTAATGAGCGGTGCCGCTTGTGTCCACAGGCGCCACCACAGTGACCACCACACCCAGCCTGGCTGCCAGCGCCACTGTGTGGATGAGAACCTGGAACGCAGGAACCACTACTTGGACCTGGCAGGCATCGAAAACTACACGTCCCGCTTCGGAGCCGGTGAGTGGACAGGGGCCAGTGGAAGGGGAGGGGAGGGAGAAATGCAGACGGTGGCCCTTTGAAGCTGCATCCAGGGGCCCTCATTACTGCGGCACCTGCTTGGAGCCATTAGATGGAACTAGCAGCCCACTGCGCTCCTCGCCAGTACAAACATCTGGGCTCAGGCAAGCACAATACATCAAGTGTTCAAGGCTAAAGCCCATCAACAGAGTGGGCTGTTGTTAAGTGAAGTATTAGGTGTAATGAGCAACAGCCTTGATCTGATGGTTAGTGATGACATGTGATTATTTTAATGTTAGCTCTGTCAGGAAAGTGCTAACAGAGATCTGCTCTCTGTCAAGTTGTTTCAGGGTTATCTGCATGGAGAAAGAACCTGACACGTGGCTGCCAGAATCCTACCGTCAAACCTTAAGTCAAAATTTATTAGAAAGCTGGTCACACAGCATTTTTTACACTGTGGTTCACTTTAGTTTGATCAAATTCTTCTTTTGCCATTTGCCATTGTTAAGATAGCAGAGTTGGAATAGATGGGAAATTTGGGTAAAGAGAGCAGGGGAATGAGATGCCACAGACTGGGAGGTTATACCATTCTCTGCCACACAATATGCTTTCTAACCACTCAGTCATTGAGTTGCTCCATTTTCTCTGATTTTATTACTGAATTTAAAGGGCCCACTTCACTTTGAATGTCAGTTCTGTGACCCCATCATAGTTTTTAGTTGTTTGCAGTTGTTTAAAATAAACATTTTTGTCTCTCCTCCACAGCCCCTGCTGCAGAGATGACTAAAGCAGAGCCTCAGGCCAGGTCATCTAACCAGACTCGTTCTCGCTCCCATGAACCAGAAAATGGTCACTCCCATCCCCATCACCGCCGCTTACAGACTGTTGTGGACACCGTTGCTCCAGACAACCTCCACTCTGCCCGGCTGCGAGGCCAAGACTCAGGGAAACATGCCCTCCGTTCTCCAAAGACACACAGCCGTACACCTCCTGCGCAGATCAATGGCAGAGTGATGAGGAGCCGAGGTATTCCCCCTCCTCCAGCTCTACCCAGTCAGACTCCTCCTCATCAGTCTACAGCTCCGTACCGCAAACACAAGCAACGGTCCAAAGAGAGCCAGGGCTACCGAGCCTTAGGCCCTCTACCAGCACCTGGGCCAGTGGTGGAGAAAGAGCAGGTGAGGGACCTACCTAGCGTCCTGCTCTATGAGGGGGGTCTGGCGCAAGTTGTGCAGCGGCATGAGCATCACCATCACCATGAACACCATCACCACTACCACCATTTTTACCAGTCCTGAATTTCCATCTTGCCTGGAACAGCTCAGCACTCCTGTAAGGCCACAAAACCCATCCCGGTCAGCAGACACAGAGTGCAGGCTGCTCCCTCCTTAAACTCTGGGCAGTTACCCATGTAGTGGCATGCTGATAGACATTGAGGTGGAGAGGAGGATCATGGGACGGGTGCACATACTGACATGTTGTTAATCAGTATTATTAAAGAGGTTGCCAAACATAGAGAAGGTTGGGTATGCAGCAGGAGACCACAGTACAGTAATATAAGACTAAGGAGCTTGAGGGTGGGGGGTTGAGAGGAAGCAAAGAGGAGCTGCTCACTTGTTCCTCTCGCCCTGGTTCTCTGATCCTCTACTGGATGAACTGTACAACTCCAAACCAGCACCACAATCCTTCCAGACCACTAAGCCAAAAGGTTTTCAAGGAAAAGAGGGACAAGAGGAAGAGTGACATTAAGATGAAAACATATGAAGGAATTTAAGTGATTGCAGAGCAGGGTGCAGTGTGTGTGTGTGTGTGAGAGCGGAATTTTGTGTGAATGCATGGGTAAACAAGGGTCTGCGTGTGCGTGTCTGAGTGTCAACACCGCTGTCTGCTGAAAACCACTTGAAGTGCACTCGTTTGTGTGTGAGTATTTAATGTAGGCTGTAGAGACGATTATGAAGATTCTGATTTAAGCATACAACGCCCCGTCAGCAAAAATGGGAAGGAAAATGTTGAAATGTTCTAAAGTGAAAAAGAAGAGCGATCCTAAATCCGCTGCTACCTCTAATTTTATCCTAATTGTTGTTGTAAAGGTGACTTTGACTAAGTATTCAGAGGTTATTTTCAATGTACTTTTGTCACAATCTGCAGTACTGAAATGTTGAATAGCTCCTTACATTTATTAACTAACATTTGCTGTACATAAAGTAAATATTGCTGTCAATTTTATAAGCTTAATTGATAATGTGATATCTTTGTATTCACTATCTGAAGCTCTGTGTTTTCCTTCACAACTGCATTTTTATTAAGACCACTAGCAGCCTCATTGTTTTTTTTTTTATCAAACTCTGTTAGTGATCCAGTGTCACACACTCCTTCACACTGACTTTCAACTCTCACCCAAATGTAACCTGTAATCATGGCAAGTGACTAAAATCCCAACCCTCAACAGTGCTGTTCAGAAGCTCTAACTCATGACACAAGCAAAGCTGAGTTGCCAGTGTTTTTAAAATGTTATGTTATTTTATGTTATGTCCTGTGATTTTTTTCAGACAGCAGTTAGCTTTTAGAATACATCTGGTCTAAAGATCTCGATGCGCTCCAAGAAGCTTTTTCTTTATTTAAATATTTAAAATGTTAGAGATAAATCACATAGCTTTAGTGGCATGTTTGCATAAATTGAAACCTTGTTACCAGCACAAGGTGGGTGCGTTCATTCATCACTGTGCAGCGTGGCCTTTAACAAGACTTATTTACAGTTTATTATTTATGCAGCAAAAATGCTTTGCTGAGCATGCATGCAATATTTCCGAAGTGTTGTGTTTCGGCTATTAGCAGATACAGATATTCACACTCCCAGAATTTGTTCACAGTTTTGCGCACTCTGGTTTTCTGTTTCCAAGTCTAGTTCTTTCCCCAATTGGTAGCAGCTTTGTCATCCTTGCCCAGGATCGCACGGCTTCTCCCTCTGTTTCCATGGCATCTTCCTGTCCCTCAGCTGTCAGCAGGTCTTTCACCGTGCCGCCATGTGGCCTCAGCGCTCAGCCAACAAGGCTCTGTTTGTGGTGCTCTTTCAGCTGTCTCATTCCTCTAGTGCTGGATGACATGGGGCCCTGCAGTCTCCACTGCAGCCATAATTCACCGCTCACTGCTGCTGTCCTGCCAGCACCGGGGACTGTCTATTCATATTGTCCCCTGATGCCCGAGGGGACTAGCATCACCATACCTGTGCCATCTCAGCTCTGACAGAAGCAGTAACCTACTAGCTGCTGATATGAGGGTGTTGATTTCCTTAATTCTAGGTAATCACTTTTCAGAAGTGTCAGTGTCACACTGAAAAGAACTTGCCCCTGTGCAGCTGTAGTTTTCTGTGTTTAAGTGCCTTGTGCAATGGAAATCTACTCCATTCAGAGGAAGGGCATTTTTACCATATGGCTTTTGCAAATCAGGCCCCAGGGCTCATAATTGTCCACAATGCATCCATTTGAAGTACACTGAAAGGATTGTGTTTGATTGTCTTAGTTTGTTGTAAGGGTGTGTGTGTGTGATTGTAATGCACAGGAATGCAGCGTATGCCAGTCTTGCCCTTAGCCCTGTGGTGTTGTCTCACAGCTGTAGCCTGTCTTCAGCAGAAGCCATCAGACGGGCCATCTCATGGGACCTGGTGGCAATGACGGCCTCATTTTCAGGCTGGGGTCACAGCTGTGCTCCATGCCTTAGCTTTCTCACCTCTTACTGTTTTTCCTAGATAAAAAGTCATTTCTACTGGAGCCCTCTCACCGCTGTAGGTTTGTAGATACTAGTTTCCAAATACGAGTGTGAAAATGGTTCTCCCGTGGTAATGGACAGTGAGCAGGCGACTGTAGGGTGGTCTCATTTGTCATGGTGGACGAGGGCTTCTGAAGGAATTCGAGTGAGTCAGACCCAAAGCCAGGTTGGAATTTTTAAAATTTCTTTTAACCCCGAAAGTGTTTGACTGAACACACAGAGCTCTCTCTTCATTTGAATTTTTTTAATGCCCCGCTTCACATTCATAGACTAACCTTCACTAAAAACCTCAAATGTTCTTGATAGCATGTGCCTCAACAGCATTTGTTAAGGGTTGGGAAAGCAGTTGCATTTCTGGTTTGTCGAGCAGACTTTCTTTGAGGGAGCGTACCTCAACCTCTAAGAAACCCTTGTGTTCTTACAACCTCCCTCTCTAACCAGCACTGTTGCTATCCCTATTGTTTCTTTTATCACACCAAGGTAACAGAGTTATATTTTGTGAGGAAGAAAACTCAGATTTTTTGTTGTTGTTTCTTTTTTTAGCAGCCAAGTCCTCAGCTGTCCCTCAAAATCTAACAAAATGTATTTTTTATTACTCTTTTTGGCAGATTGTTATGTGGGCATGAGTGTAACATGAATTTCAATGTATGAATGCCGCTTTTCAGACATAACATTTTAATCTGTGTCACACAAACTGCTTTTGATGCACCTACATTGGTCCTGTTGAACTGTCAGTATTCTGAGTCACAGTAGTATCTAATGCACCAGTAATTTGCTTTATAAGATTTATGTATCATCACTGTTTTTAACCTGATGTATATATTGGACTGCAGAAAGGTTAAACCAGCATCATATATAAAGATAGGGGTTTTTTTTATAGTTAAATAACTGTCAAGGTTTTTCATTTTCCTGCTGTCCCATAGTATCCACAGTGACCGTCCCACTTATCTGGAAGGAAATCTGTCTGTTCACCCACAGAGATATACACTTTCACTTGCTGTTTGCTGTAAACCTGTTTAGCTCTAGCTGTCTTCTCGCATCTTCCATGGTCATCTAATGTTTTTTTTTCTATTTCCATGACATTTAGTTTATATTAGATTGTATTTGATTAATTGCTTTATTTATTTGATAGCAGATCTGTGCCAAGGGAAAATACCCTTTTATTAAAGTATGAACCTGTTCCTATTAAACTGCATGACTTCTGGAGTTACTTAAGAATATTTTCTGTTTAATGTTTTTAAAATTATGCACAGGACATACAATATCAGAGATCAATATGGAAAGCTGTGTCAATTTCCTCTTTTTTTTGACTACACGTCAGATTCCGTTGAAACTATAGCAATGTCTTCATTAAGTAGTCATTAAGCACTCATAAAAACTTTACACTTTGTCTTATGTACACTTTGTGCATTGAAATATAAGAAACCAGTTGGGATGTATAGATATGTTATCATGGGGG